AGTATTTAGGAGGGTTTAGGGTTTAGGGTTTTAGGGTCCAGGATTTAGGGGTTTGGGGTTTAGAAAGAAAAAAGAAACAAAAAAAGGATTACTGGATCAGTTCTCGAAGCCAACAATGAGACCGAATTCCACAGTGGCAGTGCGCAGAAGCTTTAAGCCTCACCTTGTACTGTAGTTCCTGGTTTTGCTGATCGATTCTGTGGTTCCGATCTTTTACCGTCAGCCTGGTTGACCCAAAAACCCTAAGGGTCCACGTGCCAATATAGTATATACTTTGGCCCCAATATAGGGACCACGTTAAGGCCAACGTATATACTATATGGATACATGGACCCCTTAGGGAAATGCCTGTAACGGAGTACACAGGCCAACCCGAAACCCTTGGTACAACGTGCGCGGGTTTAGTACCAGACGAGAACCTGTCTTCCCAAATGCAAAAAGCCCCAGTAACAGACCTATAGTAGGCGTCCATATGCAAGGGATTAGGGGTCTGCGCGTTGAGAACACCCCGGCTTATTGAAACGATTCTTGGTTAGTGTGCTGCTGTGCTGTAATGCTGCAAACATTCGTTCTTCGGGTTCTTTGATGTGGGTCGGGAGTTTGGTTGCATTGGGTTTCGGGATGCAAAGCGACGTTGCTTTCCGGCTGCGATCGATCCTTGGCAGGCCACATGGCGCCCGAGCGACGTGGACAGCTTCGCCTACCTGAGGCGGCTCTTCTCCTCTGCACGGAAGTTCGTTAATATAGTTAATATTTTGTTTTCTGAATCGGAAGATTCATCATTATTAATGTCATTATTGTTACTTTTAACTACTATCATTATTATTGTTATTTTCATTAAACTTCATAGATGATTCGGTGAAGACCTTAGCCCCCCCCCCCCCACCCCCCAACTCCATTCTGATTGCAACGGGCCCCATATTGGTGTAGTTCTCTAAGTCAAGGTCCCTTATTCGGTCCCCCAAACTAGCACGGCACCCTCATCAAAAGAAGCCCCAAGAAAAACAACCCTCATTTAGAGAACCGCCCGAAGCCCTAAACCCCAAAATTTAGAGAACTACCCTCAGCCCTGAACCCCTATAATCCCTAAACCCAGCCGGAGGCTTAGGAAGATGTTCGAGTGCCATGGCGTCTACGAAGCGTCGGAGCCGGAAGAGGCGACTTCGCCCAGAGCCTTGGTGGGCCTGGGGCTATTTGGGCAGTTGTCAAAATTATGGTCCCTTCTTGAGTCCCTTATGTAGTACGGCACCTACTTTTTAGGGTACCCAAAAAGAGACCATATTTTTGACAACCACCCATTTAAGGGTCTCCGGATTTAGTTGTTTACTCATAGGCCGCAGAGCAGTGTTCCTTTTTTTTGGGTTCATGTCTAAAGTTCTATAAGGTAATCCCAAAAGGGAGCTACTATGGGGCCTATGGCGGTCCATTTGGTAGGAGTTTCAGAAAATAGGGGAGCATAACATAGGACTCATAGGACCCTAGGGCCCTAAGATTTGAGGATCCTTATCAAAGGGCCCCCGCCAAAAAGGTACCCTGTACCCTGGTTTTCTGAAATTCCCATTTGTGCCACTTGTGCTTCAGACAAATTGGCCGTATGGCTCGCCTGGGGGGAGAGTCCAAGCGGTGGCCCAGCCCCAAACCCCTTGAAAACCAAAAGCATGAGAAGCCTTAAAGCCCCACAGGAAGGGGTTTAGGGGTTCAGTGTTTGGGGTTTCGGGTTTAGGGGTTTAGGGTCTAGCGGGAAACTTTAAAGCCTTAAAGGTTTCTTCACCATTGATTTGAAGTTGAGGTCCCGATTGCTCGGAGTCGCCGAAGTCGTTGACATGCCTGTGTGAGTGCGTCGCAGGCCTGCAAAGCCACGGAAGTTTCGGAATGAGGGATGCATGGGGCTAGCTTCCCGCTGTAGGCAAGTCTTGTTCACTAAGCGTCCGAGCACTCCTTACTCTTCTAGGACTTTGGGGCCTTTCTGGGTATCAGAAACCATAAAACAAAGGCTACTTGGACCCTTGGGGGGTTGTTTAGGGCTTACAGAGGGCTTTCTACGGTTTAATACCTACCGAGTTTGATAGGGTTCGATCTGAAAATTTCGGGTACACTGTAGACGCGTTGCTTCTGAAATGCACCGCATAGGAACCCTTTGAGCACATGGTCTCTTCTTAAGCCCTCCTAAAGCACTGAACCACTAAGCCCTACAACCTAAACTCTTAAAGCCTATCGGCTTCTCAACCACGCAGGCACATGGGTAGTTGTCAAAATTGAGGTCCCTTTTCGGTTACCCTAAATAAGAAGCGCCGTAGTATAATAGGGACCAGAACGGACGAGCCGGGTTCCGGAATGCTGAATATCAAAACCTATAATTCCAGCGTTCCTTAACCAAGCACCCTAATCCCACGATAAACCCTAAACCCTAATCCCACGATTCCGAAGCCTAACCCGAGTTCCTATCAAAGGGTGACTGGGGTTCGAGTCGCACTTTTAGAGGTGCAGTTACAGGTGGTCTAGATGTGCGGCAGGACAAAGACGAAGCTTTTCCTTGGCAAGAAATTAAACCTGGAAGAGTTGCTAATGCTGTCACAAGACCGAGATGCGAATGACAAAGTGCTCGCGCCGTCGGTCGAATTCGTGCAACAAGGGTCTTGGGATGCGAGGTCTCACTGCTAAAGGTCTGGCCGACATACGATTCCGGCACCATGGACCGTAAACTAATGTGCAGCCGTCAGTCCTGAGATCTTGAATCCGAAAGCCTGTGCTCTCCATCCCTGCCTTACAGCAGAGCCGAAAGCGCCATAGAACCAAAAACCCTAGAGCCCCGACAGAGCCGAGCCCGTGAACCCAAAGCCCCCAGAGTTAAAAAGCAACTCAAAGCCTTAAGGGGGCTCGGACCGCGAAATCCTGTGAGCGTCGAACCCCTGGAGCCACTGGAGCCCTGAAAGCCACGAAATTGAAGACCTTCCCTATGGGCTGTGTTTGCAGACGCGCTCTCGTTGGCAAAAATATCGCAGAGCCCCTGCTTTTGCGTGCGTTCATCATGAGTTGGTGCTGCTGCGCAATCTGATATGACTTGCTTCAAGAACCAGTGGCGAAGCCCAGGGCTTATAAGTCCTAGGGCTCTAGATTTCGATGTGGGATTCAGCAGTTCTGGCTCAGTTTAGGTCGAGGGTTCCAAGGAAAGTTCTTTATGTAGATCAAGCTTCAAGTATATAGCTTTAGTTGAACGGCGGCACAGCAAGGGTAGTGATAATATAGTATTGGCAGCGGATCTTTCTGGGCAGGCATGCCTGTACGTATGCATGCATGCGTGGACGTATGGATGCATGCTGACATACGTACATACACATGTGCAACACTGTTCTACGGCGCTCACTGTCCCTTCCAAGTCTTCCCAGTTCTCCCGGCAAGTTCTCCCACCAAAACCGTTGAACCCCATGTTCAAAGCCTAAAGCAGGGTTTGTTCTGTTGGGTTAAGGTGCGACTGTCGAACGTTGGTCCTTTTTGTTTGGATACAGGTCTTGCTGTCATCGTCGTTGCTCACTACATGGTGTTAAAGTAGCAAGCTCCACGGACAGGAAGCCATGCCTGCCGGGGGGCGAGTGTGTGAGTTGAAACCACACCTAGGTTTGGAGTACCATACCTGAATACCTTTTTTGGTGCCTCTTCCTTAAAGGGGCCATTATTTATGAAACAAAAGTCTATACTTTTTCTCCCTGGTCACTTCAAAGTCCAGCACAGGTTAGGGCTTATAGGGCTTGGGAACCTTACCATGGAAGCGATTCGAAAACCCGCACCCGAGACACTGAAAGCCCGAAGAAGAATCGGTGCCAAACCCCAAATGCCCTGTGCCCGAATTTATGGCGAAGTGTTGCACCCTGCGATATAGAAGATGTATAAGTTTACACATACGTGGTATACATAAGTAGCCAATTAGATATTATGATATGTATGTGTGTATATATAAAAAGTTATGTATGTGTTTGTTCGTACATACACATATCAGGAGGTCAAGTCCTAATCACGGTAACCCTCACATAGCAACTCCCAAAGGGTCCAAAGTACTCATATAGTAGAATGTAGGGTTTCTATACTAGGAACTACCATTATGATTTGGGGAAGTATTCCCCATAGCAGTACCTAGGACCCTTTGGGACTGAGTTTTTCGGGAAGCTCCACGGTCCTTCTTCTCGAACCGGGAAATTGTCGGGGGCGTGTTGTTTTGGCTTTCGAAGTCTACATCATAAGGCTGATTGGTCCTTGGAGCCCGCATGAATTCTCACCGGCTTGTGTGTCTTGTCTCAAATCCCCAAAATTCCAACACCTCCAAGCCCCAAAACCCTAAACCCTAAAGCCCTAAACTCCTAAACCCCTTGAAGCCTGATCTCGTGACTTCATGTTGTGACACAGGCTCCAAGGGATGCTGTGCCCTGGGGCAGTCTTAAGCTTCGTGCCCCAAAGTCCTTGAATTCGATTGCGAAGATGCTTCACAAGTTTAGAGTTTATGGTAGAGGGTTTAGGGTTCAGGGTTTGCATACACTCAGTTCCCAATCCTAAACCCAGCAAGCTTCAGAATCTCAAGCTGCGTAATTTAAGCAAGTACGTAAACCCCAGAGCCGTCACCTCTTGGAAGCCCTTCAAAACCCGAAACCCTATAAGACCTCTCAAAACCCTCGACGGCCTCCGGAGCTCACGACAATGTAAATGTAGGAGCCCGGCACTCTATGACTGGTGATTCCTCAGAGTAGTTTAGGGATGAAAATCTGAAACTCGCAATTCCTCAGGCCAGGGTTTTGGGGTCCAGGGATTTCTCGGTCGGGGCCTGTGGAAAGAGGACTTCGTCGCCGTAGGATCTCCGCCAAAGTTCGGGCTTTTCGGAAGCGCCTGTATTTCGAAACCCTAAGCCTAAATCCTAAAACCTAAACACGAAAATCCCGAAGCACTATAAACCCTACTCCCTAAACCTTAAACCCTAAACACTATAATTAGGCCCTAAAAGCCTGGCCGGAAAGGCAAGCTGGTGAAGGAGCCCCCTCTCCAGCACCATTGCCGCACTCTTTCACCATCTGCCGAAGCCTGAGCACACAATATGATATTTCTTATGTTTGTTTTCCAGTGTTTTTTTGGTTATACTGTTGTTACTACTGGTGTTAACGCCTACTACTACTACTACTACTACCACTACTACTACTACTACTACTACTACTACTACTACTACTACTACTACTACTACTACTACTGCTACTGCTACTCATACTGCTACTGCTACTGCTACTGCTACTGCTACTGCTACTGCTACTGCTACTGCTACTGCTAGTACTACTACTGCTACTACTGCTACTACTGCTACTACTGCTACTGCTACTACGACAACTACTACGACCGCGACTACCACTCCTACTGCTACTACTCTGATTGTTATATCTAGTACTATTGCTTTTATTGTCGTTTTGATTACGATCATCCTTGTTGAATTTACTGGCTGTTTGCTACTACTATATAGTATAGTCTAAAGCTTCGTAAACGCCCAGAAGTCCAGCCCCCCCCCCCCCCCCCCCCCCCCGCACCGCTATGAGCCCGCTACGCCCTCTACCCGAAACCTTGTAGTAGTTCCTGATCCTAAGGGTCCAAAGGACCCAATAATGAGGTCCTCGGTTTTAGGAGAGTAGTTATGTAGGGTAGGATTTCGGAGAGTATATGACAATTATGTACTTGGACCCTTAGGGTTATCCTACAAACCCTAGTTGCTCCAGTCAAAGTCCAATACCTGCATGTCAAGGCTTGCGCCAACAGGCCCCAGCTAGGCCCCTCAAGTGGGTGCTCAGACCACAAAGCCGCTCTGACACTCATCACTAAAACCTTGAGGCCTTTGGAACCAAGCATTCCTAAACCATCCTAAACCTCCATCGCCCTCTCATCGCCCTCTGCCCTACAACCCCCCCCTCCCCAAGATTGAAGATCACCCAACCTCTATCTATAATCCTCAAGTATGTACAAGGTCGGTCGACGGGTTCGCTCACAAGCTCGAACCCGTCCTTCTACATGAGCAGCGTGGCCGACTTTGGGTGTTTGGCATAGGGCTTCAGTGGATTTATAGGGTTTGAAGATGAAGCTGTAGAATTTGGGGTTGGGGTTTTGTTTCAGCCTTTGGTGCAACCCGGCACAGAAAAGGTCACAGAGTGCATTGTTCTTTGTAAACCTAAACCCATCTCTTTATCTCTCTATCTATCTATCTATCCATCTAACTATCCATCTATGTACAGCCTGAACCAATAACTCAACGATACCTGCATCCTAAGCCCTTAAACCTCCCTGCGATTATGTGGGTGCGTCCTTGCCCTGCCGGAGTGGAAAGCCCTCAGCTTAACACTCATCCCTGGGCCGCCTGATGTAGGAACTTGATTTAGAAACCTTGGGTTTTTGTTAGTGTTCCTTGTATGGATCCTAAAACTTTGGGGTTATAGGGCCAGAGTTTCCTACTTAAGCAGGTTCCTACGTTACCGCAAGTCGTTCGGTCAATGCCAGGCGCGATGGGCGGAGGGGGTTTCAACCAAGCAGCTGTGCCGGCTGCCACCTACATCGTCATGGCCTGAGCATGGAAGACGTTTCGGGTCAGGTTGCTGGAGTTTATAGGGTCCGGGTGAATTTAGGGTTTAGGCTGTAGGCTGTAGATATTACGAAAATCCCTAATTTCGGAGCTCCGTTTGAAGCTGCAGCTGCTTGTTTGGGCTGCACCCAAGCCAAAATCCATGCCAAAAGGTCGGCTGCAAGTGGAAAGCACAGGGTCAGCTTGCGACCTTTGCAGCTGGAGACCTTCTGGTTGAGTTTCGGACAGTAACCCTAAGGGTCCATGTACCCATATAGTACATACATTGGCCTGAAAGTAGTCCCTGTATAGGTACCTTGGGGCCAACGCATATACAACATTGGTACATTGACCCGCAGGGTGATTAACAAACCTAGGCTTCCCAGGGACCTTATTATTGGGTTCTTAAGGGGCTTAGGGCCCTAACTATAAGGTAATCCCGAAAAGGAACTACAATTTAGACTATAGGTAAGCTTCAATGTTGATACCAGATTTTGACGATTTTCGGTTTCTTTAACCCCAAACCCAGAACCTTAAACCAGGACGCTACCCCCAATGAAATCCTTGCAGACCCCTTAAACAAAGCCCAGACACGTAAGCCGAAAAAGAAGCCCGAAACACTCTTGCGAAGTAGGATGCAAACAGAAAGCCCAAACCCTAAACCCTATAAACCCTGAGCCCAATCCCAAGCACAACAAGCGCAAAGCCCCAAACATTCGTAATCCTGGACCCCCGAGCTTTGGAATGCGCTGAGGTGGACCTTGCCGACCCCGTGGCGTGGACCTCGTGGTTCCGCTGTGCTTGACGTGGTTGTTACATATAAGGTCTACAGTCTACGAACTACTCTAACGTAAGACCTAAAACGCGCTACGCCTGCAGGGCAGGCAGGTGTGCATGGTGTTCAAGGGCTTCAGGGCTTTGGCAGTATGGTGTTGCAGTTCGGTGAAAACAGGGGATTTCCGCTGCCTTTGGCAGTACGTAGTTTCCAGAAGTTCAGGGCAGGGTGCCCCGATGATGCAGTAATTCCTTGAGGGTTTAGGGTTAGGGTTTGAAGGGTTTCTTAAAGGGTTCCTTAAAGGGATCCTTATAAGGATCTACAAGGGGTTTATGTTTAGTGATGTATGCAGTGGCTTCAATGATTACGACATCCGGACACCACTGTCACTCCAAGGGTAGGAACCTTGTTTACTATACGGGCCTAAATAGTTACCTATACTATTTTCGGTGGTTGCTTATTATGCTTATAGTATAATATTTTACCCCCAAACCTTGTTCTATTGTTAAGGCCCCTACATTATGTGCGGTCTCGCTCGCCCTGGGATTCGAGAGTGTTTGAGCGCCTGGGTCCGAGGAATTGATCCTCGGGTGTGGAGTTCTCGGGGTGAAGTTTATATGACCCTAAACGGAACTCCAGAAAGTTGGAATATGGTTTCAGGGTAGGATACCTTATAATTTACCATAAATGGTTTAGGATAATCATATTCCAACTTTCTGGCTTTTACTTTAAGGGTCCATGTACCCAAATACTATGTATGTTGGCCTGCCTATACAGGTACTTTGGGGCCAAAGTATATACCATTTGGGTGCATGGACCCTTGGGTGATTAATAACCCTAGGCTTCCAGGGATCTTGTTATTGAGTTCTAGAGGGGCTTAGGGCCCTAAGCATAAGCTCTTTGGAAGCATAGGGTTACACAGGTGTTAACTACTGTCATTTTGTTTTGCTAGGCCTGGTTTGAGTTGTTTTGTGGTAGACATGCTGGAAACACAACTCTTTGCTAGATTGACCTTCGCATGGCTATGTCAAAGCCAAGAGCCAGACCCGCAACACATCCGGCGCTTACCCTGGGTTTGGAGTACCTTCTTTTCCGGTGCCTGCTCCTTAACGGAACCATTATGAAACGAAAGTCTCTGCTTTTTTTCTCCCTAGTTACTCGAAAGTCCCGTTACAACTACAGATTTGGAAGGCTTGCGTTTGACGGCGGTCGGGGGTTCGATGAAGCTTCTCCCGCACGCTCTCATGGGCCAAGTCTTGCTTAACCCAAAGGGTCCTAGGTACTGTTATGTGGAGGACTTCCCCAAATCATAATGGTAATTCCTAGTATAGAAACCCTACATTCTACTATACGCGTACTTTGGACCCTTCGGCTCCTGCTCTTGCTCTTACACCGCCGCAGTTCAAAACAGGTTTTAAAAGGCGGGGATGACTGCAGGTGGATTTCCCGGAAGGTGTTGTTTATGATTGGAGGGGTGTTTGATAAATTGGGGAAGTGATTTATAGTGTATGACAGTTTTTTTGTAGTATAGGATCGTATTGTCGAGTAGAGTAGAGCAGAGTGTAGTTAGTCTAGTATGAACGACTTAAGCGCAAAGAAGACGAGCGTAGCGAGGATCAGCTCTTGGGCAATGCCCTTCGCATGTTGGACGCGGCTGCAGCGTCCAAGCTCACGTGCCGAACTTAGATGAGCGTGGGTTTCAGACTCGTTACTAGTTCTGGGTGTTGTTGCATGATTCAGGTTAACCTGCCATACGGCCTTAAACCCCGAAACTCCCCCAACAAAAGGGTTGAGGGGCTTAGCAACCTTGCAAAGCTTGAAGAGGGCAGAATTTTGCATTCGCTGCTTTCAGAAGTGTATATGCTCGATGCGTCCTGTCGCCTGCACAGTAGGACCTCTGGGGTCCAAGCATTTTAAGTTGCTACTGACAGCATATTACAGCGTACCTTGGTATATTATATTATAGGGTACTTTAGGATATTACAGGTTTGTTATCGTATGTTAAGGTGTGTGTTGAGGGCCTTGGAGGTGCAGGGGATGCGTCCGCTGATCCACCCTCAAAGACATGCAGACCTATAGCACCCGATGTAGAGCTAAACCGAGCCGTTAAACTCTGAGACCCCCGGCCGAAGATACCCCATGCAGGCTGGCAAAGCACCAAACCCCAGAAACCACCATGGGAGTTTCCGATGATTAGGGGTACCTTACTTTGGGTCCTTGTAATAACGATCCTACTATGTAGGGTACTAGTTTGGGGTGCTCATCATAGGATCCTACTATTTAGGGCACTGTAGCAGGATTCCCTATTTTCCGGAAACTCCCACATAGATCGAGACGTCGCGGGGTTACAGTAGGGCTCCTTGACAGGCCTTTAAAAGGGCTACTTGCAAGGGTAAACTTGGGTTGGGGTTTAGGAGTTAGGGTTTATGATTTAGGGTTTAGGGGTTTAGGGTTTAGGGTTTTGGGTTGGGTTTAGGCAAACCCTGTTTTAAATATTAAGGCCTCTATAGTATCAAGTCCCATGAGTCGGTAGAAAGGCTCTTTTGGTGTGGGTTTGCGGCAACTAGGTTGGCAGGGCAATCAAGGTACGGTAAGGTAGGGCGAGGTAAGGTAAGGTACGTAGGTAAGGTAGGGAGTTGGTAGATATAGAAGGATGGACAGGTAGGTAGAGTGGCTCAATGTTATGCCTTGTCGTACACATCTCTCGTCCTAGCTTCGAACCAGCTAAAAAGCCATAGGTTTAAGTTTCAGAGCTTGCTTAGTTTGACCTCATAGATCTCGAACTTTTGAACATCGTAGAGGCCTTTCTGGAAAGTATTTGCAGGTGGACGGTTGACTTTAAGCGGGCTTCAAGGTGAGCAGCCATCTGAAAACGCTTTCACAAGCACTGATGGCAAGAAACCCTAGCGCTTTATCCGACTTGGTCGTTAAGTTATAGGACATGATAGCCTGTTGACGAATAGGACCCTCATTCCGAACGATCTGCAGGATTGGGCTAGGTTGTGTAGAGCCCGCGAACCAGAGGGCATTGAAACCCGTTCTGGGTGGTTATTGCGGTTGACGGTGCGCCCTCAACCCTAAACCCTTTAAAACCCTAAGTAAACCCTAAAACGCTTTGAGCAAAAGCCCTGGTGCAGCTTGCGCCGTCTCTCCCCGGGCCGCTATGAGATCGACGGGCGACGGGTCACCCTCCGCCTGGGGCTTATGTTTTACTACGTCACTAATTGCAAATACTATCGCCGTACCTTGTAGTTAGGGCCCCAAGCCCATCAAGAACCCAATAATAAGGTCCCTGGAAGCCTTGGGTTACCAATCACCCTATTTTAAAGGGTCCATGCACCAATATAGTTTCTACATTGGCCCCATTGTACCTATATAGCGACTACTTTCAGGCGAATGTAGATACTATATGCGTACATGGACCCTTAGGATTGTCCTACCTGAGTGTTTTACTCCCCTGGTGATAGAAATCCTGCATTACCTTAACGACCCTAAACTATGGGAATTATGGTGTATTCAGTGAGCTTAGATTGCGCAACATTTCTTGGGTGCCGTGTTGGGCGGAATTGTGGGAGCTAGAGGGCTTTGGCCTCAGGATTGGTAATAACTACTATTTGCTTAAGAACCCCCAAAAAATAAAAAATATATTCCTTATGGGGGTAATATAGGGATAATTATGTTTTATTTTTTGGGTTTCTTAAGCAAATAGTAGATAACCCTGGGGCTCCAAATAGCCCAAAGTAGGTCCTATTTATAGATTTTAGAGCCCAAAGCAGGTACTATTTGTATACTTGGAGCCCTAGGGTAATTCTTCGACTTTTGCCAGGGAACCACCCTAAACCCTAAACCCTAAACCGTAACCCAATACGCCTTAATTAAGGAGTATGCCATGACTTACAGGGGCCGTAGGGTCAAAAACGGTTGATGATATAATTCCTGCATTACCCATAATAAGGAATATCCCTTAATTCCCATAGTTTAGGGTTCTTAAGGTAATGCAGGGTTTATATCATCAACAGAAGTACCTATAATAATCATATACTCTCGAAAATCCTAATCTGCATAACTAACTACTATCCTAAAGCCGAGTACCTAGTTATTGGGTCCTTTGGGCACTTGGGGGAGGCCTTAGTATTTTGATTCAAGGTATATCCCTGAATTAAGGGGTATTGGGTTCTTTGAGTGGAGCGTTTTCCAGAGTCTGGTGAGTGCTTTGGGGCCTGTTATCTCGCGAGCCCCTCTCTTTCTTTGGAAGACCAACCTTAACCCGGAATAACCTACTGTACCTTTTTGATGATTTTTACAAGAAAATCACGACAAGGAGCCCTAAAAGGTAGGATGTTCAGGGTTAAGGCATAACTTGGAGGCTCCACCTCCCTGACCTGCTGGGGAATTCGGCTCAAAAGCAAGCCATGGTCATTCTAATTCAGCAGCTTCCTGAGATCGCGTTGTCATGTGTGTTCATGGGCTACCGTCATCATACCTGCAGACCTCAACTCAAGCTTGGTTGACACGTAAGGAATGTACCTTATTTATAGAGGCCATAATACTATTATTCTTATTGTTATTATTATTAAAGGTATATCCCTTAATTAAGGGGTATTGGGTTCTCTGGCTTGAGGTTTCAGGAGAAGGTACAAGTAGGTTCTGCTGAGCTATGAGCAATTGGAGCAGTAGTCTCTGTCCATGGGTGGTTGTCAAAGTTATGGTCCCTTTTTGGGTCCGGATTCTGATATGACACCTAGTATTTAGGGTACCCAAAAAGGGACCATAATTGTGACAACCACTAACATAAGTTCGTGTGTTCCTTTAGCACGAGTTCCTACAACCGTTTGACTCCGCTCTTTCACATTTCCACAGCCTTACTTCTACCCCCAGCTCATCTCCGACAATCAGTTCGATCACCAGATTTTGACGCCCGAATCTCGCCCCGAGACGGCTAAGAAGCCTTAGCGCCCCGTGAGTCTAGTCATGTCATGTATTCTTCAACGGTCACACCTTAGTCTGCCAAATCTGACTTGCGAGCAAACAGCAAATGATCAATAGTCAACCCCAACCCCGTTCGTAGGTCCCAAACCCCGAAACCAAATGCCCTAAACCCCCAACCCCTAAGCCGTGGCAGCAAGGTTGGGAACAGGGCGGCACTGGGCTTGTTGTTATCGAAGATGAGGCCTCTGACTGCTGAGCTTGTCCGATTTGTTCTCTAGAAAAAATTTGGCCGAACACGAATCGGGCAAGAAGGTTTTGTTTTTTTGTCTTGAGGGCTTTCGCTCGGTCCTTAGGAGGAAGAGTGAGAGATGAGTGGGGACAAGGTTTCACAAGCAAGCGAACGATTTGGGGTGCGTTGTGGGCACCCAGAACCCTGAACACCGAACCCTGTAAACCCCCTAAGCCCTGAAACCCAAACCCTGTAAACCCTAAACCTTCAACCCTTCACCCTGAACCCCAGGCCCCATAAACACTGAACCCTGAACCCCCAACCACGCAAACCGATTAAAACGGAGCCGGGCCAGAGGAAGCCGCCGGGTTTAGCCTGCGCTTCCCCGAAGGGTCCATGTACCAATATAGTATATAAGGTAGAAGCCCCAAAGTTGGAAACCCAATAGCCTCCATCCTTAAGAGTAATGTATAAGGAATCCCAGTGCTATTTGGCCTTAATCCGTTTTCCAACTTTATGGGGTTTACTGTATACTTTGGCCCCAATGCACCTATATAGGGACTGCTTTTAAGGCCAATGTATATACTATTTGGGTACATGGACCCTTAGCCTTAGGGTTCATTAAGTTTCAGCCGGATGGCAAATCAGAACAACCTGGTCCAGTGCTTAGCTATGCTGTAATCAATGTGTACGTGGAAACACAGTATAATGCCAATCCTTTGTAGTTGCTAAGATCTGAAGTGAAGTTGCATATTTTGCCATCCTTAATCCAGATTCTTTGCCGCCGTTTGCAGCCTTGTTGCGCAGGTCTTGGATGCGCGTGGCTCCGCGATGCCGCCACCTGTCAAGCAATCTTGCAAGCCTACTTCAGGATCCCAAAGAGCAGCATGCCTTGGATCAAGGCAGCATTCATGTAAGGCGGCAGCACCAAGTTAAGCATACCTTTAACGGCTTGGATACAAAAGGCATCTGTCCTGTAGGCTTAAGATAGCGTTCTCGTGGCCTTCAAAATCACCTTCCTGGCACCTCTGGTTCCTATCTTTCTACCCATGGGCTCCATAGTGGTTCCTTTGTGGGATTACCTTATAGGTTCCTAAATTAAGCATGACAAAACGGAACAGTATCCCGAACACCAAACTCGAATCAAGATTCTTGACTTCTCTGCCGCACTAGATGCTGCGCGGGGCTTCGGGATGGGGGGGGGGGGGGTGACAGCTGCGTCCGAGGCTAGTAGCTTATTTGAAGTCGGCTGGCAACGTGGCTGCCTCGCTCAGTGGCCAGCGCGCCACGAAGCTGCATGATTTTGTTTGGATTGTATCCGACCCTGTAGGAGGGTTTCCCGACCCTACTGATCCTGCAAAGCCTATCGAAGCAGACGTTTTCCGGACACAAATAGCCCCCCGTGGCAAGCCTGACAAAACCATCATGGCACCACAAGTCATCAAGACACCAGCATGTGAAGGATTGGGGTGTCCCTTGCAATTTCCTCCCCGGGTGGTCGTTGAAGAGCCCGCATGGGCATTGGACACCTCAGGTAAACTTTACCCTATAGGCTCCGCTGTCATTGCTTTATAGTTCTTGGGTTCACCCAGTTTATTATATCTAAGATGCTATAAGGTAACCCCAAAGTGTAAGCTTGGTGTCCACGGTTTGAGCAGACCAAGGCTTTCGGTTTGCTTTGATCCAGCAAGAATCCGGAAATCTGCAAGTTGCAGCGCTTCAAGATGTTTCGAGGCTGCTAGTGTCTAGGGGGTCTATGTTCTTAGGCCATAGGCGTCTAAGCCGGAAAGTTGATTCCAGGTCGATATTCGCTTCAATATCTCGCACGGGCGCAAAGAAAGCCTACCTCCACCAACAATGTGTCTACGTTTCTGTGAAAGCCCTAATCTTTGCACATAATCTTGCAAAGGCCTGCTCCAAAGCACGGCTCTAGACTTTTCAATGGAGCTAGGATCACTGCCTTTACTGTAGCGGTGGCCTTGCTTATTGTGCTTTGGACGGTTCTTGTGTTTGTTACGAGCATTCGGAACTTCAGCATCCTTTTGCGGAGGCTCCTTGCTAGTAGTGCAAGACGCAGAAGCCATAAGGCTTGCCTGAGAACTTTTGAACCTACAACTGCAGAAACTCAATCCGTTAAAACAACTGTAGCCCCTTGATCTTAAAGCGCCTTAAGGCCCTGCAGCCCTTCACTTCTCAACTCCAACTGCGATCAAGAAGCCTATAGCCAAATTCCAAGAGCTCAATCAAGCAGTACACCAAGGCCGATATGCCAAAGATCGCACGGGTGCCAAAGGCCCAGCGTCTGACCTTTGACGACGACGCACCCGCCAGCGCCTCATGCGTCGAGCGGACGGAAGTGCAGTGTGTTTGAAACTGAGGGTTTAGGGTTTGTGTTTTCGGTATTCAAGATATTACCAGTGTGGTGCAAAGATATAGGCTCAAGAGATATAGGGCTTGAGCTCGACAGTGCGGAATCGGTTAGTAGGGTGCATGGCTTGGGGATTTTTGAGCTTGGTGCAGGGCTAGGCTAGGATTATGGCTCGTTGTGAATGTATGGCGGAGGGTGAAGGTCTAGGGCTTATGTTACCCCTAACCGCTCAGTCTCAAATTCAGGAATTGGAATTCGAGTGTTCTGCCTGTTCTATGAGGACTTCTCCATGCAGAGGCGACTCCAGAACAAGCAGCTTAACCTCCGGCAAAACCAGTTGTATTTTCAACTTTGAACCTACTCACCGAAACCCTTAACCCTACACCCCTTGACTATCCCAGACTCCTAAACCATACCTTAACCCTGAAAACACTACCTTTTTTAGGACTTATGTAAGGGAATCATAGTAAGGAGCCCTAAAAAGATAGGTTCTTTAGGGTTAAGGTAAACCCTAAACCCCTAAACCCTAATCCCTAAACCCCTAAACCCCAAATCCCTAAACCCCTAAACCCTAAACCCTAAGCACCGGAACCTCGACTTAGCTTCGAAGCGCAAAGCCCGGAGAGCAAGGCAGAGCAGAACCTGGCGTCACAGATCGAGAAACTGGGAAGTGAGTTGCCAGTCTGCATTACCTGGAGGGTCATACCCTACCTTTTTTTTTAAGGTACCTAGCTTTATGGTTAGGTTCCTTTATATAGAAACGCAGGTACCCTAAAAAAGGGGTAGGGTATGACGGTATGACCCTATAGGTACCCTATAGGGATCTAAGGACTCATATATTAAGGCTTTGGGGCCCAAAGACCATACTATATAAGGCTTTTGGGCTATTTTGATCCCTAGGGTTAGACAGTCTGCATTACTTACCTTTGGTTAGTAGGGAATGGAGGAATGGGGTACAATTTTACTACCATTACTACCGTTCTTCCATTCCCTACTAACCAAAGGTAAGATGAGACAAGTTTGGGGGCTTGCATGTCTTTCCCGAAGGGTTCGCACATATGCAGCTAGGAGTCGGCTTTTCTCTATATTTCCCACACAAGAGAGCTTATTGTGGTTCCCAGAGGGAGGTCCTTCACACGGTCTTTGGTAGGTGAAGTATTTCTGGATGCTTGGGTGTGGAGTTTTTGCTTTCGGTTGACTTTGTTCACTGGGGCTTAGGCTTTTAGTACCCTAAGGGTCCATGTACTCATGTAGTATATACACATTGGGCTTAATGTAGTCCCTATATAGGTACTTTGGGGCTCATGTATCTCTATACGGGTACATGGACCCTTAGGGTTTAGGTTTCAGGACTTGGCTCAGGGTCAGGGTTCAATACTCCCGTGCTCGCATAGAATGGGGTCGTTCTCCACTGTAAGCTCATTGCAATCCTAAATCCCCGAAAGACAGACTGCAAGTCGCCATGCCGCTGTGAGAAACTAATCGGGCCCATTCTCCACGGGAGCTCTTGCTTTAAGAAGGTTTCGTAGAGACTGGTGCGACAGCTCTGCCAGGCAATTGAGACTTAGAGTTCCGGGGTTGTTTCGCTCCTGAGCGCTTGAGGTAACCAATTAATGAGAGAGGGTTGCCTTATGTTGTATAATCTTTATAACCCCAAAACTTAGCCTTTAGTTTCCCTGAGATACTGGACACATAAGCTGCATGCCAAGGCATGGACTGTTACTTGCGTTTCTTCTGCTATTCCCCTGCCTAAGACTCCAAATATACAAACAGTATCTACATTGGGGTCTAAAGACTTGGAACAATACCGTACTTATTTTGGGCTATTTGGAGTCTTAGGGTTCTGCTTTCCTTCAGCTGCGGGCCCTGCAGTCCAATCCTACGTAGGCCGAGTGTGAACATCAGATATACCTTTCACTAGCCCCTTTCAACTAGACAGCATGAAACCCAAAGTCCTAAATCCACATGCCCCAAACCGACGGAGAAGATTTGCATTGACCCTTCACAAGTATGACGCGTGCACAAGGCGAAGTGCCCGGAACGCTACTAAGGCTTTAGGGTTTAGGGCCCCATCCTACAACACCTCGATGACACCCTAACAATACCATTTTATGAAGCCTCATGCATCAAACTTATAGCTTTCAACAGATAAGCCGTGTTGTCGAAACATTATCCGAGGCGATGCGAGTCCATGCGTCCAGAGCCCAGCTATGCTTGCAGGGCCGAAGCTTTGGGGTTTTGCGGAGATTACTTTGGGTTTTTTTTTCATTTTCGGACGTTCTTCTTTTTTGTTTAGGGTTTTGTGGCTAAAGGGGTTTAGGAAATCTAATTTGGGGTTTCGTGTTCTGGGGCGACTCTCTGGGGCTCTTGACAGGGTTCTTTAGCTGCGCCAAATGTAAAGATGACCCCAAGGCCTGTCGTTCAAAACTCCTTCCGGCTTCCCAAGAAAGCTCTTTAGCCAGAAGCTGACTTCACCCGAGTTAACATCCTGGAATCTGCTGAGCATTCATTTGTTCGAGCTGGAGGTGAGTACCCTGACGGATTAAATCTGCTCCCCTCGACTCAGTACCAACAATGTGACACCCAACCTACTGATAGTTAACCCGAAGTAATCCCAGAAGATCTTAATCAAGCTGAATGCCTCATGCTCTGCATTAAGCTGTATTGCCACATGGATCTTTATGTCGTTGTCGGTACGCTCCTTAAGTAGCGGCTTTCTGCCTTCCAGTCCGGGCTTAGGCTTTAGGGTGAAGGGCCTAAGCCCTATACTTTCAAGCCCTACAAGCGTTACACACCCTAAACCCTAATGTAGGAACCTGATTAAGAAACCCTGGGCCTATAACTCTTAAAAATAGATGAAGGCCCAAGGTGTTTTAATCAGGTTCCTACATTAAACCGACGGGTAAGGGTATCATCTAAACCCTAAGCCCGTAATAAACCCCTAAACCCAAAAACCCTAAACCCAAAACCCTAGACCCAAAACCCTAAACCCAAAACCCTAAACCCAAAACCCTAGACCCAAAGGCCTAAACCCGACCCTAAAACCCTAGACCCAAAGCCGTAAATCCTAGAGTCACTGAGGTCTGGCGGTGGAACAAGCGAGGCTCAGGGAGGAGGCTGCCGAGAAGTACGAGCTGCCGCCCCAGCGAAGGGATTTTTTCGTCGCAGGTAGGGTTTAGGGTGTAGGGTTTAGGGCTTAGGGTTTAGGGTTCAGGGTTTCGGGTTCAGGGTTTAGGGTTCAGGGTTTAGGGTTTAGGGTTCAGGGTTTAGGGAGCTTTAGGTTTTCAGGCGTGAGCGGATTAGGGGCTTCAGTATCTGAGCTTCGGGGCAGTTACTCTTATTCCTGGGCAGCCGTTAGGCCGGGATAGAAGAGTTTTTTTTTGGGGGGGGAGCCTTTGGCTGCGGGATTTGGGACTCCCGGCTTCGACCTTGGGTCTTTACCTACCTTAAGGCTCCTGGACCCTTGTAGTGAGATCCCGGACCCTAGCCCCCAAAGCCGAAGACCCTCTTAGGGGCCTTAGGGTAGAGTCTCCATCGTAGTTCCGCTTGGTGGTTACCTTAGGTTGTCGGATCTTGAACAAAGACGGTAAAAACCAAGAAATGCGGAACCTCAGGTGAGACTATTTGGAGGATCATGGGACTTAGTAAGTATGGTTATAAGTACCTTAATTGGGTTATAAGTAGATATAACTCTAGTTACCTTACTTAAAACCCTACTTACTAAGTCCCATGACCCTCTAAGTACAGGTCGTATTTATAGGCTAGGAGATCGTAAAGGTCAGCACGTTCCATTCATTCGAGCACATCGGCTGTAACCTTATAACAGATGCTTATAGAAGCATGCGGCTTCTTTTGGGGTAACAACGTGTGCATTCTCTGTCGTTGTTAGGTGAAGGGGCAATTGAGTGTAGAGAGCCCTCGTAGGTATGGCTGCCGAGTCTTTCAGCGGTTGTTGCAAAGAGGGCTATGTGTGCCTGAGTTGACCGGAGGCCTCAAGTAAGCTTTTGTGTACAGTCGAACTCCAATTTGCAAAAAAAAACTACTTGTCACTGACTGTGATCCTCTAAGCCTCTGGCCGTGCGGCGCCACCTGCATGGTGAAAGAAGAGTTTTGAAAGTACGAGTTCGGAGTACAGACCTCTTGGATCCTCATCGCACGGACCCGGTAGGCCGACCGCAGTTACAGTTCAGACGTTGAAACCTAACCTGAGGCCCTACATTAACCCAAAACCCTAAACCCTCAACCCAAGCCTGAAACTCTTAACCCAGAAACCCTAAACCATCCAAAACCCCTTGACCCAGTCCCTGGTTCCCGAAACTCCCGAATTCCCCACTGAAAACCCTAAACCCTAAACCGTTCCATTTCTCGCCGCATCGTTTTGCTCTCAGCCATCCTCCCAGTCGCCCCGCGCGTGGCACGAGGCGGAACGTGAGGCTTTTAGAAGCACCCCATCGGTGCCTAATGATGCGCGACTGGGCTACGGTTTAGGGCTCAGGCTTTAGGCAGCTTCTCCAAGAATAGGGTCTTGGTGCCCAATAAAAGAATCCCCAACATAGTAGAGGTAGTTATTAAGGTCCCAGGGCCTTGATATGGGAGTTATGCTACTGCGTCACAGCCAGAGAGTGCTAGAAAAAAGCTTTTTCTTCTGAGAACACTCTGTCGGCTTTTTACCTTGCGAAACACGAAATGTTCAGGCCCTCACCCCTGAACTCTAGACACTGAATCCCTTACAGGCGCCCGGAAGCCTGGGGCACCCTTCAAAGCCCCGCAACCTACAGTAGAAGCCAAAAAGTTCCAAACCCAATAGCCTCAATCCTTAAGAGTAAGGGCTAAGGGAATCCCAGCACTATTTGGCCTTAGTCCGGTTTCCAACTTTACGTGGTTTACTGTAAATCCTCAAGCACGCAAGTAGGTTCACTAACCTGACAATACCCTTACAGATCCCTCGAACGAACCCCCTCTAAAAAACGAATCCGCAAGCCCAGAACAGAGAGTTGCCCAGGTGACATCCTCCTTCTGCTCTCGTGACTTGGAAGCCAGTGAAGCATGGGTCCATTGCTTTCCACGGCACGAAGGCTTTTTGGGCTTTACCTATACATAGTCTCCACTGTATAGTGCCTTTTTGGGTTACCTTATAGGATCCTAACTCTAAGCTTGGTTTGACCAAAAAAGGAACTACAATGGAGACCATAGCTAGCCCTAGCACTTCAGTAGGGTTCACGAGGGTTAACGAGGGTCTTGAGGTCGATCGTTTAGAGGTTGAGTTTAGGATCCATTTAGCTCCTGTCCTCGGCTGGAGAGCTGTCGTGATCCGTGTGCAGAAGACGAACCCGCAATCCCAAAACCTCAGCGCTGGCCGCACCAAGCCATGTCGGTACTTCGAGTTTCTTCTTACTGGTGTAGCATCGGTTTGGTCATCCCGAATGAACTTGGTCATTCTCACGAGGCCCCTATGCAATATCTGAACAAATCCGGTATAAACCCGATTCTACTCGGTGGTTCAGGGGTAGATATAAGTAGGGTCCTAAGTAGGGTGACTATACTTATAACCCATATTCGGGGCCATATTATAACTACCCAGGAACCTCCAAGTGCTTTTCTGTATCTCGGAGCCCAGGTTCTTCGTGGGCGCTCTTGCCAGCGGCACGTGCAATGTGGCTGTCACTCGGGCAAGGTCATCGTTTAGGGCTCAGGGCTCAGGGCTTGAGTTTAGGGTTGAGGGTCCCTAAACCCTAAACCTCGCCTGGATTGTCCGAGTGTGGGCGCCGAAACCCTGAACCCTAAACCCTAACCTTAAACCCTAAACCGTAAACCCTAGCCCTAAACCCTAAACCCTAACCTTAGACCCTAAGCCCTAGTCGTCGTCTGCAGCAGCGCAGTTGACGGCTCTTCCATCTGCCATTTCCTGCTGGATACGAGTTGGTATTCCAGATCCGAGGTGCCCGACTATGAGCAGGTCTGCGATCACTCTACATGGGTGTGTCGGATCGTGTGCAATGTGGGAATGCTCCCGGCCCCTCGCTAGCAAGAAGGTTGAGAGCTCGAAGCGCCTGCTTTCATGAGCTCTAGGTCTCTAGGCATGCTATCCTGACCCCTCATTTGTGCAAGCCGATTCTGGCATGGCATCTGAAAGCAGGCAATTGGGCATTAGGGTCGCAATGCCAATACGGCTGTGCTTGTTCCCAAATAACTCACCGTTTGTCCTTGTGGAATCCTTTTACGATAAGCCCTCAGGAAAGTAGGTTCAGCAGGCAGTATGTAGTGGTTAACCGTTTGCAAAAGCATCGTCGTCCGCATCCCTGTGTCGTGATGGCCTCCGACCTACCGAGGGCATGAAGGCGAGCAAGTGTGTCTCGAAGCACTGCGCCACCCACAACCGACGGAACCAGCACATCGTCCAGAAGATGATTGCTGCGAGCCAGAACTACTGCAACTCGGCAGGGCTTTCGCGTCAGCGCGGTCTCAAATGCACAACCTGTGGTGTTGTCGGAGTCGAATATACCCGCGGCCCAATCGGGAAGGACAAATTCGGAGCCTCTCATGTGTTTGTACATACCTTTGCAGGGACGTGGCCAAACGTGAAAGGTTAGAAACCGTGTACCCGATATACGATACCCCAAATCATTGTGCGAAAAGGACTGGGTTGATCTTATTGACAGCCGAACACGTTTTCACTTGCGAGTTGCGGGTGGGGCCTCTGTCTCTGTAGTACAGCCTTCCGGTCTCCCCCGGTGCAGAAGCAATTGGCGTTCAAATTGGTCGTTACATTGAAAGCCGTGGCCTCGGCCCCTTCTGTGGTTTGGATGGTGGGTTCTAGTCCGGTGCGCGCCGAGTCAGCAACCGGCCACCACAATACAGATGCAGATGACAGTAAAGCTGACAATGCTACGTACTACTAAGAAATATCTGCAACCATACCTATATCTCAACTTGAACTGGGGAACGCGACCCACACAAAAACGATTCGAGGTAAGCATGGAATGCAACAACGCGACGGATAATCGGCGACCACAGCACAGCGAGTAGTCTAATGCAGGTTGCTGTTGGTCAGAGTATATGCTTTTCAAATATGTCAGCGATATCCGATACCTGCAGGACGAAGCGACTCAAAGGAAGCACAAATGTAGGGTTGTGATTCATTAGCATGCCCTGCTTTGGCGTGAGCTGAGCGTCGGGTCGCTGCGGCCTCTATCAAGATCCAACAAGTGAGCCGCAGCCTTGAGGGTTTCGGGTGTATAGGGTTTATTTGCTTGAGCGACGGCATACTGTTGCCTTGTTGTCCTTAGAGAATCATACGAAAATGCAGTCTTAGTTCATGAATGTTTGTAAAACTTACGCAGGCAGCAGGGACATCTGCTTCCTCCAGGACATGAAGGGCCGAAACTTGTGCGATACTTACTGGTACGGTTGTTGTTTAACAAGGGTTCTTCTTATTATTCTACTTATTGTGCTTGTTGGTTATAGTATTAACACTATTATTTTTGTATTGGTTACTATCGTTTTAGTTATGTGTTTTATTGACATCAGGGTTCTTATGTTACATACAAGTACATGTACGTACTTTTGTACAGTAGCCGCCGGAAAGTTGGAAGGCGGCAATTGGAACGGTTGATGCGGCAACGGCATCTTCCAACTTTGGGTTTGACTTGGTCCCATCTTCCAACTTTAGGTCCCGGCGTCTGGACCGGTTGATGCGGTAACAGTATCTTCCAACTTTCGGTTTGTGGGATTCAGCTCCAGTAATGCACAGAGAGGAACCGCAATTACTTCGACCGCTCCAATAGTGCTGAGAGAGGGAAACGGCAATTACTACGACCACTCCAACAATGCAGAGAGGGAGAGAGAAAGAGAGAGAGAGAGAGAGAGAAACTGCAAGTACTACGACCGCTCCAGTATTGCAGAAAGAGAGAATCTGCAATTACTACGACCGCTCCAATATTTCAGAAGAGAGAGAGAGAGAGAGAGAGAGAGAGAGAGAGAAACTGCAAGTATTACGACCACTGCAGTATTGCAGAGAGAGAAAGCTGCAAACACTACGACCGCTCCAGTATTGCACAGAGAGGAAAAATTGCAAATACTGCGACCACCCCAATATTGCAGAGAGAAAACTGCAATTCCTAGGACCGCTCCAGT